ACACTGATCATCCAGGAGGCATATACGTGAAGAGTCCGAACAAAAAACAGAGTCAATTCACATTCTGTACTATGATATCAATCAACACTGATCATTTACAGTTACAATGGTTAGCAGGATTGATTCTGTGATGCAGAATCCGAAGAGTGGAGATCAAGGTCAGCAACCTTTCAATGCTGGTCCACGGCTCTCCAACCTGAGTAACCTTTGTGGCGTGCCTGACACAGTGGAATTTGCTTACGCTGTGCTTAAAGAAGAGTTGACCATCGTTCACCGTGAAAACCAAGCCTAGTTTGATTCTCAGGGAAGTACTTATGCTTGATTCTTTGTCGACCCCAGGTAGGGTGTCTACGAAAGACCCATGCACGAAGTTGTTGAAATATCCGGAAATCCATACGGTGAAAGATTGCAGAGCATTCCGTAGTTTCCCCAACCTGAAATCAACGGAACCAAAGCACTGATGAGCCGGTGTACAGCGGAACCTTGAGAATGTTCTCAATCTTAAAATAGAATCCAAAAATTTTGAATATCGTAGTCAAACCCCACCCCCGTGTCCGGGGGGATGCGTGGATGAGCGCATACATAAATAAAATAAGCTGCTTGTTTTGTTGTGGCGGCTGCGTTGACTCTTTTGGGTGAGTTGCATTCTTAGCTCAGCTGAATATCGTAGCAACAACCTTCTAAGTTGAAGGTCACAGGTTCAAATCCTGTAGGATGCTGAATTCTTCGGGAGAGTGGCCGAGTGAGTGTTATGCGTTTGAGACGGAACGCTGATGGAGAGCTGTATGACGGGAAACTGTCACGTACGGTTCGGAGGGAAGAGACTCACCTCTGATGCCTACCCATTTTAGGCAGTCACGAGGCCGTGTTTCATGCTCTACAGCATGGGAGGTTGACGAGTTACCTGGAGAGCAAGATATGCTCCCTGCTCAGGGTGTACTCCTGACTCGCGATGCAGTCCCCACTCAGGATGTAGCCCCAAACACCCCGGATAGGGACATCATTTGGCATGGAAAGATACACGCCCATATTTTTTGTCCTTTGTGCATGTGGACATTGTGGGGAGCCGTGGAGCCAGGCCCTGTCCCCGCTACTCACCAAATCTCCGAACTCAAAATGAATCCTCCACTAGAACATGGAAAGATACATGGCAATATTTTTTTAAACAACAGTGCCAGACTCGAAATCACAAAGGCCGCCAACCGTGCTGAAAGCGAAACGAGACAGTGCCCTGCTGGTTCGCGCCACAGAAAAAAATGTTGTGCGAAGCGAGAAACTTTCGACCGATCGTCGCCATGGGAAACACCTTGGGCCCGGCCCCCGTCCCACCCGTTTTCCCAACACTGATAGCCGGGCTTCGTGGGAGCGTTACGTGAGACCCAGCTTACCCGTTAGTAAAAGTATAGAATCTATAGATACAGATGAAGGTCGCGGAGGTGATGACGAGTGTGGGATATACCACTTTTTTCCCCTTTTTTTACAAAGGGGGACGGCCTGGAGATATCTATCATCTTTCAGCTGACTGGACCCAGGTAAATTTACCGCTTTTTTTCCCTTTTTTAAGAGGGCGATGGTCTGGAGATATCTATCATCTTTCAGCTGACTGGCCCCAGGTAAATTCAGAGTTATTTTTCACTATCTCATTCCACTAGAGTTCCAACTCAGATCCGTATTTAAACACTTTATGGGTGTACCAACTGAGCTATGCCAGATAAGTGCCAGCTTAGAACAAGAAAAGAAGTCCTGGAATTATGTATTCCCCCCACATAGGATGCATGGGGACGTTATTCCTGCATTGATTGATAAATTGTATGTGCTACTATTACAGTGTCCTAGCTCAGTTGGTAAGGCACGCAAGTGGCATTCAGGAGGGATTGGGTTCAGTCCCCATTGGCCTCATGTACCTTTCTGGGACAAGCTTGGCGGCCGCCACCTAGAGATATGCCGTTGGTACCCCGAGTGGCATTGAGCACAGACTGCGGATGCTCATAGGGGGAGGGGACCGGAGGGGAGGCACAGTGACTAGCCCATCGAAGAAGCTCAGTCCTGATTCTACCGGCTGACTCTTGACCGGTATCGCCCACCTGCTGTAGCATGTATCGCACCTGCTGGTGGGTGCAGCTCCTGCATGTTCCCTCGTTGGAGGCTTGAGCACGGATGTGGCTGCTACGAGGTTCCCTGTAATCCTATAAAGACAATGAAAAAGGCCTGAAAGGCCGTCCTGTCCAGATTTGACAGGCAATTGAATTGGTTGGGCTTAAAGAATTAGCCTTTTTTTCTTCTTCTTTTTATAACTATTTGTATATATTGTACAGTATGTTTTACTATGTTATAATATCTTACTCATTTACGAGTATATTTATAAACTATTTGTATATTATATAGTATATTTTTTACTATGTTATAGTATCTTAGTCTTTTATTACTAATTTTAGTACATTCATGAATTTATAATTTTATAGTAATTTATGCAGATTTTTGAGGTCTGTGCCGGCAGCACTGTCCCTTATGGAAGGATCAGTTTTATCGTAGCTGGATAAGGTCAGAAATAAACCTGATTAAAGATTAAAAACTTATAAAAAGCTAAAGATCAGATAAGAACTGGAAGAAAAAAAAAAAAAAAAAAAAAAAAAAAAAAAAAAAAAAAAAAAAACCAACAACAACAACAACAGTTAAGATTCATGTAAGAACTATTAAACCACCAGTACTTCCTAAAGCCGTGCCCGAGCCACAATTTTAGGAAAACAACCGGCCACTATAGGAGCGTCCAAATTCATTCGAGTAGAAACGTTTCTACTCTATTTTTTTCCATGGCCGATAGCTGGGCCAAGCACTGGTGGTTTAGGAAGTGTCCTTCCAGACATCCCGTTACAGAGAAGATTAGCATGGCCCCTGCACAAAGATGATGCGCGCATATATGCCATAAATTGAGAAATGGTACAAAATACTGCAAATTATTAAACAAACAAACAATAACAACAACAAAATCGTAATTATTATTAAATAAATATATAAGTAAAGAACAACAATAACATCAGCAACAACAACAACAAGAAAGTTGAACAAATCATCAATTGCCTTTTGTGTCCATCAGGCTCACGAGGCAGGTGTTCTTTTACCAAGATATCTAGAAATAGACTTTTTGGCGGAGTAGCAATGGGGCTAGCTAGGTGGCATTGATCTAGCTGACAGATCTGGTTATCTGATCTGAGAGGAAATGTGAGGTACGGCAAGCTGACAGTCAATCCTCCATCATGGTGGAGCAATCAATGCTGATCAGGGGTCCTTCGGCCAGACGGAAGGAAGCGTGGGTGGTTCATGTTTATTGTAATGYATATTCTGACTTGCCGGTGGAATAGGAACCGGACTGTCGCTCCCCAGAATGGAAAGGAGCCAGGACCATGAGGCCCTGTTTAAAAAAAAAAAAAAAAAAAAAAAAAAAAAAAAAAAAAAAAAAAGCAATGGGGCTAGCTCAGTTCGTACGCCCATGAACTGGTGAAATACAGACTCGAGTTCAAATCCAGGTGGGGGAATCAGAGGAGTAAAATAACACTGAATGCAAAATGAGACTACCTTGAGGAGGTCCGCAGGGCCGGCAATGTGACCGGCAAAGGTTTTTGTCTCGTCTGTGGTCTGGCGCTTTAAAAGGTGGTGGCAGTGGCAGCACGAGTCATAAAAGACATGAGAGTTGTGAAGACCTTTCACAAACCTGTTGGGATTGAACCTGGATTGGATCCTCTACTTGGTTCTTCACCCGTCGACGTCCTGGCAGAGGTTGGGGGGGCACTGATATGCTTTTCCTTGGGTTTATTATTGACGGTTGCCTGTTTATTCCTGGGATTGAACCTGGACCGGATCCTGGTTTGGTTTGTCGTTTGCTGACGTTGTCGTGTCACTTCGGACTGGATTGTCCGTTTGGCGTCTTTGCAGAATCTCGCGGGGGGACCTGAATAACCTCTTCGTGTTGTTGATGGACGATAGAAATTTTCGGCTTTGAGTACTCCTCGTCGGCTTCGTTGCTAATGAACGACACTAAGTGAACCTTGTGAAAGGGCATCATGAAGTATTATGGGATGATGAAGAAAGTATTCGACTTCAGACTTTTGGAACTGTTACATGAAACTTTAGGACAAATCAGTCAATTGCTACAACGGGGATGGTGATAATTACCTTGTCGAAGCAGAGTCTTACAACTTTGGGAGCAGTCGCTTGCTACAATGACTGTAGATGAAAGTGTGCGCGACGGGATATTACGACATCAATACAGTCGTCAATTTCAGACTTCACAGGATGTGCAACTTTAGGACAAGTCCCTATGATGGTTATATCTCGTTCACGAAAGGTTTGCAACTAAGGGACCAGCCACTCACTACTACAATGGGAGTGATTACTGAGGGTTTTTTTTTTGCATCCTTTCAGGTGCTCTTAACCTTTTGCAGTGCGATGCCTGCAAAGCGCAAGGTCAACTTGGTTGACAGGTTGCCTGACGTGGAGAGACGCAGCTTCTGCTGTCAAATTCTGCGTGCATGAATGATATTTATTGTTGTTCTTGTGTGTGTGTGTGAGAGGGGAGAGAGGTCAGGGGGGGGGAGGAGTGGGGGAGGAGTGTGCACACATACGAGAGAGAGACGTGCAGACAGAGAGGCAGGCAAACAAACGCACACACACACACACACACACAGAGAGAGAGAGAGAGAGAGAGAGAGAGAGGAGGGGAAAGGGGTGATTGTTCCATAATGGTGTCAAGGGATTGCACATCCCAGAGACCTCTTTGTTTAATACTTTAATGATTTGTAAACCTACTGGTGACTGTAAATTTACTGGTAACTGTTTGGTCCAACCTTCAGGGGCAAGGGTTCACATGCCCAGATTCCTTCTGTTTTTTTTTTTTTTTTTTTTTTTTTTTTTAACCCTGTGGCCAGTACAGGCAGTGTCTGAAGTCCTTAGACTCCTTACCATGCACCAACCCGAGGGGGTTGGTGTGAATGGCCGTGCGTCGGTCAACATCCGCCGGTGTCCATCCGCGAGGCTGCAGAGTTTTGAACCCACGACTTCAAACCACAATGCGCATTTCCATCCGGTCCTCTACCCACTGAGCTAATGTTTTCGGCAGTTGATCTTTGCAATCTATGGTCAGAAATGAAGAATTAGGTACCTGGGACCTTTCTCCTGTTGTGGTACAGAGTGCCAGAGTGGATATGCGCGGTCCATTTCCGTTACGTTGCAAGCCTTCAAGGTGCGGTGAGAGAGCTGTATTTTCCCTTTCTCTTTCTAATTAAACCAAAAGGAAAACCTGTGTTATGTACTTTGTCAAATAGCTTTGAAATTTGAATCCATGAACTGCATGAGTGTTTCAATTTCTTTTGTGAAAGGTGTGGGCACGCTCTCAGCGAGGGCGTTTCCGCGCTGTCAGAATCACATTAAAAAAAAAAAAAGAAAGGGAGGTCAGCAAGCTTTGGCCGTAAAAGCAGTTGGTTACATTCCCTCAAGTTGGAGTGTGAGCATGCGGTCAGTGAGGGCCGTTAGATATCACGCTGAATCAGGGCACTAAGAACCGAAAAAAGGGAAAAAAACATAAAGAACAACGTCCGTACCTCGCCCTGAAAGATGTGAAGATGCATGCTGTCGAGTACCAGTGTAAGGCCTCGGTGACGCACACTTCCACAACATCATTGTTGTGCATACAGTTTGTTCTTTCTTTCTTTTTTGTTACGTTCAACTAGCGGGCCCGCAGGTCCCAATTTTTTTTCATTTTTTTTTTCATTTTCTCTTTGTCGGCCTCGGACCCCGGGCCGGACCCCCAAAAAATGCGGTATAGGATATTTAAACATATTTTCCCAAATGGGACTACAGAATTGGAAAGGTTGGGGGTGTTTTAAAGAGGAATCATTGTCGGAGCGAATCCGACAAAGGTAAATCATGATTAGGGGCTCGCCATACCACTGTCGAAAACGTGATTTTCAATGGTTTCCTCTATGGCCATACAGCCTGTCGAAATTAGAGATGGGAAGAAAATTCGCAAGTTGTCAGAGAATGCTTCTGGATACCTCCTTCAGAAAGCTGTTGAATCTCCAGCCTGCTACTCCGATGCTGTCAACAGTCTGCTGCGCGGTCGACGTCTCCTCGAAATTCGGTGAGTGGGCGTGAGGTTGGGATGGACTAATGCTTGTCGCACCCTCAGGCGCGTTCGTCTTTTTCCATCTTGCATTCACAACTGTGTCCATTCTACAGTGCTGTGTGGCAAAAGGGGGGCAAACTGTCGAGAGGGCGGGGTCGAATTTGTTCTGACAGCCGTTGAACTTTTCAGCCTTTCGACAGTCGTGTGGCGAGGCCCTTATACCGACAACACACTTCCCGTGTTACAGCCCTGGGAACCTCCAGCAGTTTCTTTTTTTCGGTTTCTTTTCATTTTTTGTTAACCTCAGCAAATTGATTGCTCCTAGTTGGGTGGATGGATCATCACACCCATACATAGTATCAAGCCCGTTCTTATAACCTTCGAAGTTCAAACCCCATTTTTTTTTAAAAAGGGAAAATTTTTGAAATGCCCCAATTTCCATTTATTTGTGATATGCCCCTCTGACAGCAGACTTACCCTGTCGCGTCCCTCTGCCCCAGGGTAAGTTGGCCGTCAGAGGGGCATATGTCAAACAATTGGAATTCGGAGGGGCTTGTCGAAAATCCCCCCCCGGGCCCCCCCCCCAAAAAAAAAAAAAAAAAAAAAAACTTCACTGCGAAACCCAGATCTGAGTCACGCATCTCACCGTGTGAGCTACAGGGTACCTCATGAGATCTGTATTAGTTGTTGTCGAAAAAAGCTCATCCTTTTTTGGCCTTCTTCCCAGGGCCACTTCACTCTGCTCATCTCCTCAGGCACTGTCCTTGTCTACCTCCCACAAAACTCCCAGTGTGGGGAGAGAGATGCTCGTCGTAGCGCTCCCTAGCCCCAGACCTCCCCAAAGTTGGAAGAAGATTCAGGCCGTGCCCCTAGTGGTAGCTTGGTTGTTGTGACCCATGAAGTTCCTTTGAAATGTTTTATGTGCTCGTGCTGCTTTGTGTTTGTTGGCCCTTCCTCGTACTCCAAGTTGCTTCGACGCCCTCTGTTCTACTGTAATTTCCATTTCTACCATCTTACCCACTCGCAGCCAGGTTTTTTTTTTTTTTTCGTCAACAAATTCAATTCATTACAAAAACATTTATTTGAGCCCGGGGACATCACAAATTCAACCCGGAACAGTGACAGCATCAGCCAGCTTAGCGTACAGGCTCTTGCGGAGTCTTGCCTGCAGAAAGTCGTTGCTACCGACTTTCTAGCTAGCAGCCAGGTTTCACGAACATGCGCGTCTGTTTTCTTTTTTTTGGGGCACGTCTTTCTTATGTATTTGTTTTTCTTTCTTTTTGGGCCATGACTTTCCCACTAACTTATTCTTTTGTTAATGCATATAAGTTCAGAGGGGACTGTCCCTCCATCATGTCTTTTTTTTTTTTTTTTCCCGGGGGGGGAACGGGGGCAACGAGCAAAGCTGTATTGCCAAGGAAAGCAACAAGCCCCGGGAGTCCCTCACAAACAACCCAATGAAAATAATGTGGTCAATACCCTCCTTGGGCTCCTGGAGGCCAGGTCCACTGTCCAGTTGTGTAGGCAAGCTCCCCAAGGAAAAAGAAAAAGCTGGGGCATGATCCCCAGGAACATGAACTGACCAAAAAAGGGGGCACAGGGTTCCCGCCTGCACCTAATTCAACCCGTGTTATCTAAGGGGGGGGTCTAAATTGTTCCCCATATACAAAAGGAGAGGCCATGATGGCGCGAGAGCTGCGCTGCCATGGGGAGGCATGGTGAAGGGTGGTGCGTGAGCTGCTTGCAAAGTGCGCGAGCGCTGCTGGTGGAGCAAGCGCGCACTGCTGGAGGTGTGGGCGCGGGCTTCTTGAAGGGCATGCGGGCGCTGCTGTGGCTATGAATCCCCCCCTGCGGTGGACAGGCGCGGCCAAGTCCGCGGCCACGGCCAGGCCGCGAAGCCCGCGGACGTGTCCGCGAGGATGCGCGGATTCGCGGACACGTGGCGGCCGCACGGGAGGGGGTTTGAAGATTCTGATGGCGCCACGTGGCGGCGCATCCCCTGCCCCACCCCCTCACACGAAAAAAAAACGAAAAAGATCAGACTTTTGGTGGGGGGGTATGGGCGAAATCCAACGAAAATGGGG